TCGTCTCGAAAGATCTTTAGTAGTTATAAAGAATTGCAGATTCTTATAATCCGAGTAGATAGTTAGTCCTATAGCTCCTTTATAGTATATTCTCTAGTATCGCAATACTACGACGATCGTAAGCAGTTCCTTATCGTAGATCTCGTAGTTTTGTTCCGCTAGCGTTATCTTCCTTAAGAAGTACGCGATTAGGTGTCGATTTCTATTGTGCTCCTATATAAGGCAAGCACCAATAGCAAAGTCGGAGGCATCGGTTTCGATAATAACATCTCGTTCTAGGTCGAACATAGCGAGCGTTAGTGCGGATATACTAAGTTCCTTTAGTTTCTAGAAGGCTTGCTCCTATGTCGTTGTCTAGTTCTATTAGATGTCCTTTTTCGTTAAGTTAGTTAAGGGTGTAGCTATCCTTAAGTAATCCTTAATAAACTTCCGGTTGTAGTTAGCTAGTCCGAGGAATGCTTAAATATCTCGGACTGTCGTTAGGGTAGGCTATTCTATAATTAACTTAATCTTTTCTAGATCTATACGAATACTATTAACTCTAACGATAAAGCCTAAGAAGTCGACCTCCTTATAGAAGAATTTACACTTCTCGGGTATAGTTTTAAAGCCTAAATTGCTAAGGCGTTCGAGTACTTCGCCGACGTGCCTAGCGTATAGTTCTCGAGAGCCGTTCGTAAAGATTAGTATATCGTCTATATAGGCGATTGCTATAATGTCGAGGACGTCTCGTAGAGCGTCGTTAATAACTTCTTAGTATGTTGCTAGCGTATTTGTTAAGCCTATTAGTATAACTCGGAATTAGTATAGTCTAAAGCGCGTTCTAAAGGCTGTCTTCTATTCTTCTCCGGGTACTATACGTACTACGTAGAAGGCGTCCCGTAGGTCGATCTTCGAATACTATATAGAACCCGTAAGTCGGTTCTTTATTTCTTCGATGTTTAGTAGCGGATATCGGTTTTTAATCGTTATTAAGTTTAGTCGTCTATAGTCGATAACTATATATAATTTTCCTCCTTTCTTTAGAACAAATATTAAGGGTAAAGCGGTAGGCGATTAGGATTTCTTAATCTATCCCCTAGATAGGTTCTTATCTATCTAGCTTCGCTGCTCTTCTAGCTCTTATTATAATAATGCGTAAAGTAGTCCCTATAGTAGTTCCTTACTAGGCTAGATTAGTATCTTATAATCCTATAGTCTATATATAGGCAAGGCCGCGAGCCCTATCTCTTCCTAAAAGAGGCGTTTCTATCGTATAAACTCTTTAGGGATTCCTAGAGGTGCGTTCTTATCCTCCTTCGCTCTAACTTATTAATCCGGTAGATCTATTCCGGTATCTGTCGAGCTTAGGCTACTACGTAGCTCCTGTTCCGGTTATTAACTAGCTATATATATATGCTATCTTTCCTTATCTACCGCTAAACTCTACCGGCGTGTAGGCTCGATGTCGGTAACGTATACGTATCGCTTAAATATAAGTACTCTCGTTTTCTATTCTATATATAGGTTATAACGTTCTAACTAAGGCGTGCCTAATACGATATCGTATCTAGCTATAGGTACGATATCTAGGACTATCGTCTCGTAGTACTATTATATCGTTAGGGATAGTAGTATCGTTTTACTATCTACGTCGGGTAGGGATAAGCTATCGACGGCTATTAGCTTATACCCGCTATTCTTCTTCCTCCGGGTTGCGATCCCGTATCGTTATACGAATTAGGCTAATATAAACGTTCCGTTAGCTCCGGAGTCGATTATTACTATTATTTCGTGTCCTTATATAATATATTTAGTACGTAGGACTACTACTAAAGTCTATTAAATATTCGTGTTATTAAGTTCCCGTAATCTGTTCTTACTAACGGGCTCTCCTAGTTTTTTGTCTCTAGAGCTACTAGAAGCTCGGGGTCCTTAAGGTAGACTTCCTAACTAAGGGGTCTATCCTTAGGCTATAGTATAATTCTTCCTCGTTCGATACTTGTTAATACTAGTCCCTTAGTTAATAGTAATAATTTACTAAAAATCTGTCCCTTCTATACTAGTAGTAGTAGGATCTTATAGGTTGTAGCGTATAACTACTTATATAACGTAGTCTTGTACTACTAGATTATTTCTTATTTTATAATAAGGTCGTTCTACTAGTTTTCCTATATTATATAGATCTCGTCGAATCGCTATATAAGCACCTTAACGTAGTCTCGTATATTCTTACTAATATAGATCCCGTCTAGGGCGTAATATCCTCTAGACCTATCGAACTTACTTCCTATCGGGGGTATATCTCGTACGTAGTAATATCCTCTATCGAGGTTAACTTATCGATAGTCCTAAAACTCCCTCTATAGGCTATTAAGTAGTAAGTCGAAGTTGTTTTAATATAGTCGTCGTTTCCTTTATACCTTTAGGAAGACTTCCTCGTATTATCTAACTATTATAAGAATTATTCGTCTAATTAGTTCTAGTACATCGATACTAAAGTTAAGTATTTCGTTATCGCTATTATTATCGTCGTCGGTATATTCGTATTCTAAAAACTCGGGCGTGTCCTCGTAACCGTCCTTAAAGTCTAGTATAATAGGGGTTAGCGTAGAGCTTCTCTAATCGTATATTACGACTAGTTATTTTAATTCTTCTTCGTCGTCGGATTCCTCCTCCTAAGGTTATTATATTTCTTATAGGGTTATATCCTCCTACCTAAATAGAGGTAGAGACCTTCCTTAGGCGTAAATACTATCGTCTCTATCCTACTATAGTTGCCGTTATCGAACTAGTACTAGCTCGAATATAGGGGGCTAATACGTAGTACTATTAGATCCCTATAATTCCGTCGAATTAAACTCTCGATAAGGCTTACTTAGGAACTATCCTAAGTCTACCTTACTCGAGTAGTAAGTCGTATAGGAGTCGTTATAATATCCTATCTAGTATAGTTATTTATATTCGTTATCTAGGTCCTTTCTAATACTTTCTCCGATTTTTATTATTATATCGCGGATAACGTAAATATCGTCCGTAGAGACCGTTCCGAGTAGTTTAAAGAACTTATTCTTCTACTTAATAATTTCGTCCTTACGATTAGGGTATCGTTTCTTTATTAAGCCTATCGTATTAGCGATCTTAGATTATATTTATCGTATAGCGTTACTATTAGCTAATTCCTTACTAACGTATATTCCTAACTAAATAACGTTAATAGCTTCCTAAATATATTTAGTAAATAGATTACGTCGTTCTATAACGTTAATCTCTATAGCGTTAACCTCCCTAAGATCTGCCCTATAGTTCTACTATAGTTATACCTTACGGCTACGGTAGTCTCGTACGTAGTATCCTTCCTTTCTATATAAATAGTACTTTAGTCCTTACTTTTTACTTTAGGCGTACTTCTTGCCCTTAGCTCCTACTCTATTAGGTTTGCCTCCTCTAAACTTATATTAAGTAGCGTCGAGTTCTATAGCGTTAGGGTCGCGACGTTACTATCCTCTAGTCTAGCCGTAGGGAGTATAGCTAGTTCGTCCGCGGTCCTAATTAGTATTACGTTTTTCTATATATCGTTCGTAGAGTATATCGTCTACCTTAATTATAGCCTCCTATAAGTATTCTAAGGTATCTTAGCGTCCTCTATATCTTATAAGCTCGTCCTTAACGTTATCCTTAAGTCCTCGATAGTATATAGATTTTAATATATTACCGTCCTATCTAGTACGAGTAGAAACCTCTTTAAACTTAGCGGTATATTAGGATATAGAGGCTTTCTACGTAACGTATTAGATGTTCTAGATAGCGACTTACTAGTTATTACTAAGTCTATAAATTCCCTTAACTTATTTAGCGAACTCCGAGAAGTTAGTAAAGATCCCGTCTAGGTCTCTATTCTCGAGTAGGACTATAGTTAATTTAGGACGTATCTAGCTTTAAGCTTCGCCTCGAAGGTAGGATACTACGATACGGTAGCGTTATTATTCGCTTATAATATCTTTAAGGGAGAAGTATAGTATAATCTAGTTTAACTAGTTATCGAGCTTATTACGATCCCTATAGAAGAAGTCTAGTTTAGCGGAATACTTTATCCTATCTTTATTAGTAGAGGTACTAGCTCGAGCGGTCGAAGCTATACTAACGTCTCTTTCGTTATTAGGAGCTATTTATTTACTTAGGTTACTTACCTACTATAAGAGTATTTAAAATATTATATACCTACGGTATAAGAGGGTTAGAGCTTATTAGATAAGTAAGTTCTAAGCGATAGGTCGGGTAAGTAACTACTCTAAGGGTTTAACCTTTTAGCGGGTTAGTAACTTAGGTTAAATATAAACTACCTATATAAGAAATATATATTCTATATATATAGGAGATTCGTATATAGTTACGATTACCTAGCGGTAATCGTAAGTATTCTTCCTTACGGTTACTCGAGTATAAGGGTAAGTAGGCTACTTACTTAAGGGTCTAGGTAAGCGATGTTACGTAACCCTCTTATAGCCGCCCCTGCAGACCTAGCTTATTAGCTCCCTAAACTTAATTAGTTAGTCTGCTTGTTGCGGACCTAACGTCCGTAACATCTAGCGACTAAACCTACATAAACGCTTATAAGAAGCTTCGCCGATTCCTAGTGGGAACACGGTGCACGACCTGAGCACCACTAGCCTTGTCAGCAACAACTATATACAGCACCGGTATTGACTTGGGCGCCAGCATAGGTAGCGGGAACGAATATGCCTGTGCCAGACCCACGATAAATCCATAGGCGCTTGCTCTCGTGCTTGCATTTGTCTTTCGTATCCCAACCATCCTTCTTTACCTGTACATTGTCCAGAGTCACGATGCAGGCGTCTACATCTCCCAAGGGTGTGATTACGTGGAGGATGAGAGATCTGTCTCGCCAACTCATGACCGGGACAATAGAAAATGCTATTGCTATGAATATATGCAAAGATCTGATGTACAGTAACTATACCCGTAAGCAAGGCCGTCACATGCTCACAGCATTGAACATATCAATGCTGGCTCCACTCAATAGTGTTCAAATCTACCCCCTCCTGCACAAGCTCCCACAACGGACTCAACTCCCTCAAAAACGTGACACGCTCTTGTACCGCCTTGAGTACGTAGTCAATCTCATCATCAGTAGTGAAGCGCCCAATCCCAAATCGAATGGAACTATGCGCACTCTCATCACTATTCCCCAGTGCCCTAAGCACATAGCTAGGCTCCAACGACGCAGACGTACAGGCACTGCCGGATGACAAAGCGATGTCTTTCAGAGCCATCAGCAAGCTCTCACCCTCGACGTAGGCGAACGAGACGTTGACGCAACCAGCGTAGTGCCTGTCTGGGTGGCCATTGAGGGAGGTGTGTTCCATAGCCAGTAGACCATCCTTGAGACGGTTCGAGAGGGTGGAGATGCGATGGGTGTCATACTAAGAAAAGCTGTCAGATTATGTCTTTCAGGTACGTGTACGCGTGTGATTGTGGGGGTAGTAAAGAAGAGTGGTCATATTGCGTTGCTGCGATCAGCAGACAGATGCGCCGGTCAAGGTCGCCGACTCAGAAAGCCATGCATGTGTAAAGCTTGTAATCATTGAATGTAGAAGGTGCAATGGGTTTGTGAGACTTACATCCATCTCCTCTTTACAGATCCTCGCCGCTTCTCCAAAGCCAATGACCAGTGGTGGCGCGATAGTACCAGACCTCAATCCACGCTCCTGCCCACCACCAGAAATGATCGGGTCGATCCTCACTCTTGGCCGTCTGCGCACGTAGCAAGCGCCGATACCCATGGGTCCGTAGATCTTGTGTGCGGAGATGGACATGAGGTCCACGTTCATCTTGTTGACATCGATCGGGATCTTGCCTACGGCCTGCGCTGCATCGGTGTGGAAGAAGATCTTTTTGCTTCGGCAGAGACGTCCAATCTCCTCCATCGGCTGCACCACTCCGATCTCGTTGTTGACAGTCATGATGGAGACGAGACAAGTCTCTGGTCGCATGGCCTGCTCCAATTGCTCCATACTGATCAGGCCATCGCTCTGGACAGGCAGGTATGTGACCTCGAACCCTTCGTCTTGCAAATGCCGACAGCTGTCCAGCACGCACTTGTGTTCCGTCTGTGCTGTGATGATGTGGTTCTTCTTGCCACTTCGCTTGAAGAAGCGGGCGACACCCTTGATGCTCATGTTGTTGCTCTCTGTAGCGCCACTTGTGAAGATGATCTCCTTCGGATCCGCACCAATCAAATTCGCGATATGCGCCCTCGCTTGCTCAACAGCCACGTCCGTCTCCCATCCGTAGGCGTGTGTCCGGGAATGAGGGTTGCCGTACAAGCCGGTAAGGAAAGGTAGCATAGCGTCCAGGACCCTCGGATCAGTGGGTGTGGTAGCTTGCATATCCAAGTATATCGGCCGTGTGCCTTCATCCATCACAGTCGCCTGCTTCAGGATGCCCGCGGAGGGACTCATGGCCATATCTCCTGGTAAGCCGGACCCAGGCAGTGTGGTGTCTTTGCCCCTCATCCCCGTCTCAGCCAGGAAAGCCTTCTGATCGGCGCGGATCGTGCTCTCGACATTGACCGTGGCCTTCTTCGGGCTCGACTCGGAGACATAATGTCGTTGTCCTCGCGAAGAAATGCATCGTGGGGTGGTGTAGGTGGCAAAGGATGTGGTGGTGGAGGAGGCTCGGCGGCTACATTGGCGCAGTGTCTGACGGGCCACTGCTGGTGCTATATTCGACATGATGCGTGATGGTGGCGATGGCACTGGTGTATGGGTGTATCACTCAATGATGCTCGTGGACTGGAGATGGTTCATAGCTGCGGAGCATGGGTAGGATCTGATAAGGGCCCATTACATAAGCAACGCGGAACAAAGTGAGAGCGAAAGCGAGATTTCGTGCACCTCCCATGCCAGCTGCTTGCTCGGGCGAGCTCCTTAACTTTTGCACATCCTCTACTCCACCCCACCTTATGCTTATGGTGGGAAGACGTTTCACCTTGAGACCCTCTGGCCCCCAGTGATCTGTCACTCACGCTGCTGGTCGACGGTATTGCAATTCTCAGGCGGCGCCGTCCAAGCACGTGAGTCGCGCTCCTCGCGCACCAAATCAGACCCAGAAGGTCTGCCTCGTTCGAGTCCTCCGGCGGCGTCCAAACCTGATCGTCAACTTCCCATCCACTCCACTGGCCCGCGAAGGGATGGTGGCTAGTAGTTCTGCGATATCTTGCTGGACGATTTCTCGGCTCGTCTGCGTTTTGTCCATGGTGTAATGATCTGGTCAAGCGAATACTTCTGCATCATCACGATGGCTATCTCAGGTGGTCTTGAAGAATTGCGTACAAAGCGAGTTGGGCAAACATCACCAGCTTGTCGTCTTTCTTCGGGCGTTAGACAGGCACGAGGAACATGTCTTGTAACGAAGCTGGCACTCAGGCTGTGCTGGTGCATGTCTTGAGCACACTCATCTCCATCAGAGCATTATTCTTTGTGAAGATTCGCCGGCGCCTGCCTGACCATCTGACATTCGACATACATCTCCTCTCCCGGCATCACGCTGCTTTCCCTGACCTCAAACCCCTGCTTCTCGTAGAACTTAGCCGCCTTCGCATTGGCCTGCACAAAACAATCATACCCACCACCCGCAGCCAACTCGCAAGCCCTCCCCAACAGAGCCTGTCCCACTCCCTGACCCGCATAATCATGATCCACGCCAAACAGCTCGATGACGAGATGCGAGTTGCCCTTCATCAACCTCTCATGAGCATGACCACCCGTCATCGCCGCGAAAGCAGCTCGATCATGATCGTCCGTCATCCCAGCCTTCATGAAAACATTACTAGTCTTGGCATCGAAATCACAATAAGCCAGAAGTAGTACTCCAGCCACGAAGTCGGATTTTGTCGTATCCACAGCAGTCAAGACGTAGCTATACTCGCTTTCGATGTAGTCGTTGAAGATGGTAGACCACCAGGCGCGGACCAGAGGAGTATCGGGACAGATGCGCTTGTGGTAAGGATGGATTGGATGAAAGGCGCGAGAATGGATTGTTGAGAGGGAGGGAAGGTAATCTTTGCCTGCGCTGTCGAGGATTTTGATATTGGGAGATAGCTTTTTGGCCATGTGTGGGAGCTGTTGCTTCGGCCACAGTTATGCGGCTTTCCTCTTCGATGGCAGCAGCCGTGATTTTCGTGGCAAGTCGACGAGATGGGATGACGACGTCTCGAGATGGACAAGTCTAGCAGAGCGTCTTGATGAATGGTGGAGTGTTGTGAAAGCCGGCTTCACGAATGACTAACATCTCAAGCTTCACCTCTCTTCGACACCGCCATTATTGCCTGAACATCGTGGCATATAGCGAATCGCTTCTGCGCAACACATACTGCAGCTATGATAACACGGATCGAGTCAGGTGGATCGAACATGATCATTGTACTAGGAAGTCGGGCTGTTGATTGTACATTGCCGGATAGCCGGAAATAACAGAAGCCTCCTCACCTCATGCTACATCGCCATCATCACGTTAGGATGACATACGATAGAGAATGTATAATAGACAGGCTTTCCATTCCAATCACATGCGAAAGTGACCCATTGACTGCCTACGTCGAAGCTATCATTGACCAGATGATCACAACATGACGACAACCAACGGTCTCACCAATGGCAAAGTATCAACCATGACGAACGATCATACTCGCAACAGTGACATGAATGGAAACAATTCAGAAGCTGTACCAGTGACTCATCTCCTCGCCACCTTCGCTGCTTCAGCGAAGACCACAGATCTAACTTCTGAGATACGAGAGAAATGCAAAGAAGTCCTCCTAGATTTTATAGGAGTGACTGTAGGAGCTATCACACACGTAAGTATTCCTCACCCCGTCTCATAGTGAGGGAATTTCAACTGAGAACAACTCCTCTACAGGCCGACTCAACCCCTCCGATCATCACCGCCATATCCGCCCTCCAAGGCCCCACGGTCACCACAGCGACACCAGGAACCTGTATTGTCCTCGGACTTGGGCCTCCAGCCTACCTACCGCACTACGCAGGTCTTCTCAACGCAGCACTAGGCCATAGTCTCGACTTTGACGACACCTACGCGCCAGGCACCCTGCACGCAGGCGTGACCGCCATATCCGCCGCTTTAGCTTGCTATGAGAGCCTCGCCTCGATAGGAGAGCAGCGGAGTGCCGACGATGTCTTTCTAGCGATCAGCATAGGCTATGAGATCACGTGCCGTCTCGGCCGCGAACTCGGCTATGCAGCCTACAGTCGTGGCTTCCACAACACCTCCACCGGAGGCATCTTCGGCGCCATCGCAACCATAGCCCGCCTCAGACGTCTTCCTGCGAGCACAATAGCTTCCGCATTCGGTCTAGCAGGCTCCAAGGCTTCCGGCTCAATGCAATATCTCGCCAATGGATCCTGGAACAAACGTCTCCATCCGGGGTTCGCGGTGCACGATGCCTTCATGTGCGTCGCGCTAGCCGAAGCTGGTGTAATCGGCGCCTCTGGAGCAATTGAAGGCGAGACCGGCGGATTCTTGCAAGCTTATACACCCTCCCAGGACGTCTCGTTGGAAAGGTTGGTAGGAAGACTAGGTGAAGAATGGTGCTGGCTAGCGAGTAGTCTGAAACCGTATCCAGCGTGTAGGATGACGCACGGCTTCATCGAAATGAGTGGCAGAATCCACGACTCGGCGGTCAAACCCAACGGTACACTGGCCCTTGACCAGATCTCCAACATCCATATGACAATGTCGCCAGCAAATTACATCCTCATTGGCAACCCAACACCCAACAAAGTCCATCCAACCAACACCATCGACGCTCAGTTTTCAGCTTACTTCCAGGTGGCTAATACTCTAGTCCATGGTGCTAAGACAGGCGACATGAGTCCTTATACCCGTCTCGCATCCCCAGTCATCCATGCCTTGAGCGAGAAGATAACCGTCACTACTGATGGCACTATGAAAGGTTTCGCCGCGAGGATGCGTATCGTCTGGGCAGATGGCAGGAAAGAGGAGATAGAGCAGCAGTTCCCGTTAGGCGAAGTAGAACATCCCTTTACCAAGGACAAAGTCCGGGAGAAATTCATGAGTTTGGCGGAGCCGGTGTATGGTCCGGAGAAATCGGTGCGGATCACTGAGATGGTGGAGAAGCTAGACAGTGGAGACCAGGATGTGATGTCGTTGATCCGGCTGTTGAGATGAGCCATAGAGCACGTAGACTTAGGCACAGTTTCTTGCGTCAGACCATTTCTGGAGTTCAGTCGTACTCAACCAACCATACTCTTCTTCCTTCCCCTCATCCTAACATCCTCCAATTTCCGCAGGACAAGCTTCCCGACCTTACCGTTCATTCCACTGCCTTCGTTCTCTGCATAGGCTGTGAGCACTTCCGGGAACAGATCCTCTTCCCTTGGATGGGTAGAGCCAAAAGCGCGCTCCAGGACATACAGGTCGACTGCCCGATCTTCGTCCGAGACAGATTGGGTGGAAAGGCCAAAGTCGATGAGGACGACATCCCCGTCTAGCGAATCAGTCGAAGTTGGATCCGGAGTGGTGGCGTCGTAGGGACGTAGCATCATGTTACTCGTCGTGAGATCGCCATGAATAACACCACTAGCATGCAACTTCCCCACCACCTCGCCGATCCTTCTCAACAACTCCTTTAGATCCTGCAGTCTCTGCTCTCTCTCAACAGCCCTCCTGCCGGCTTGAGTATCATGAATCGCCTGCTTGACCGTCCTCCCATATACCCACTCCGTCATCATCCAACCTCGCTCCCAGTCTAGAGCTAGAACGGCAGGCACGAAACCTCGCAGTCCCGCAACACCCTTCTCGCCTTCCTTGGGCTGCTTGACCTTAGCACGCTTGCCTGGAGTGCTGCCACCTGCTGCAATTCCCTCTCCAGACAACTTGACAAGCACTCTCGCCTCGGCCAAAATCCTTGCACGCGTCAGCCGCTTATCAAGGATCGGGTGTCGCCATTTCTTCTCCGGTCGCACTTTCAGCGCAGCAGGCTGTCCAGTTGTGGAGAAAGTTGTGCGGTAGAGGAGGCTCTCTGCACCTTGAGCAATGAGCTCGAAGGACTCATCAGACGTGTCGAATGGAGGTGGGAATTTGTGGAGTGCATTTACTCTGGCCGAAGACGAGGCAGCGTCGGCCATTGTCACAAGGAGGCTAGATGTGGTGATATTGCTGGAGGTCCATGTCCACTATCGATAATCTAGCGTCGGGGGTTGTCCTCGGTACCGAGACCACGACTTCTGACACTGTAGTTCCTCTCCCTTACCTCGCGTTCATTCCGAGCTTCATACACCATTGGCACCCGTACCCTAGAAACATCACTCGCCCCCAAATCTCATCAAGATTTCTGCGGCTGTAATACAAGTCCGAAGCTGCATTGTTCAGACCATTCCGCTGCTCACCGTGGCAGCAAGATGTGAATCATGACAGGTAGGGTCAGTGGGACAAGGCTGCTCGCGAGCATATGAACCCCATCCATAGCACTCGCCACCATGAAGCACTTCTTATCTGCAGCCTCTAACCTACTATCATAATCTCTCCGCAAAAGTGAAAACCACACCTTTCATCAGATATGTCTCCAGGGTCAGAGACTGACGTATCACCCACCTTCCCCTTTACCCTTTACCACTCATCGTTGGTGGACAGACGCAAGGTGACTCCAAGGGCGTGAGCAAGTCGATCGTGACGGTCGCGCAGAAGCG